CTCCATGTCAAAAAGAAAAATTCTTAGAATCTTACCTTCTGAGATTCTAAGAAAGGCGTTAGCAAGGATTTTCACATGTGGATGATCTGAATACACAGAAATAGGTAGAAAGACATTTCACATTTTAAAAAATGGAAGTTTTGGCAAGAGAATAGTATACATGAAGAGAACTCGTGATTTTATGAGGCTAAAGGAAATTCCTAGATGACGTCTAAAATAATTGCTAGTCCATTTATTGTATTTACTAATCACTCGTCTCTCTTCAAATGCCACCAAAATCTATTAGATTTGTTTAAATTGTGTTCTTTTCTATTACTGTAACATCTCCCTCCTTTGTATTTAGAGGTTTTTTCCATCATATAATCCCCATGCTCAAACTCTTACTATTCCTCACTAACCTACACAAGGAATTCTTTTACGTCTACCGTAATTTCCAGTACAGAGGAAGTACTCAAATTATCATTCTTGAGTTTTCCTTTAATGATGCTAAGTTGTCCCAATTTGTAGCCCTTTACTGCCACTTTGCTTTTAAAATTAAGCCTCCCACCATCCTTGGTGTTTTTCCTGCCCCTATTTCTCCTTCCTAACAGTTTACCAAAGCTGAATCATATAAAAACTTAGTTCTTTTTTTAAAAAAATCTCACCTCAGATGAGTAATTATTTAGAAGCTGTTCTGACAATCCCAGAAGATAGCAATCCAATGATTCCTTGAGATTCTGGTGGACAGAGAAGCCAATACTGGACTGGTGCTTTTCTATACCACATTCTCTCACAATGGTTAAAAAGTCCATCTTGTCAAAAGTTGTCTGAAGAAATAGTTCTTCTACTTCTGAGAATGAAAGTTCTTCTTTATCTTTTCGGTGGTGTTCACTTCAAGAAAGTAAAATCTTTAATTTATAAACAAAGTACCTAATGCTTCGCTTATATGTATTCGCAATATATTACAAAGGGAAACATTAACCTAGTATCTACATCATTCAAAGACTACTTACATAATTAATAGATTATTCTTTTAAATGCTTCTCTCCTTTGGACTTTGATACCTACTTGTATCAAATTTCATTATTCAGTAGCAAAATTTACCAATAGACAGAGAAAAAAATACAAGTTACAATTTCAAAAGCAAATTCAGAAAGTATTTTTAAAATTACCAGATATCAATGTTAAGCATAACATTGTCTGCAAACACAACCCTTTTTTCACCAAGCAGAAGGAGTAACAAGCATAGATTTAAAAACCTTTAATATCTGGTATGGTTAAGCAGTTACACATCCTCTGGGTTAGAAAAGTAACGATCTTGCTACCAAAGTTTCATTATTGTTGTTGGTATTTATTTGTTTTTCACTATTAATTTCTCCAAAAAGTAGGAATTTTTTTCATCTTTTGCCC